AGTAGCATCAGTGAGTTAATAAAATTTAAAGTTAATGTCTGTCTGTTCTAGGTCATTCTGTTGCTAATAATAGAAAATCACTGAGTCTGGGTAATTTACATAGACTGAAGGTTTACCAGCTCCCAGTTGGAGGTCCAGGGGCCACATTGGTGAGGTTCTTCCTGATGGCAGGTAACAAGGCAGAAGGTGAGACACAGCAAGTGCAGGGTGTCTCTCTAGCTCATTTTGCCTCCTTATAAACTCATGGGAGTCAATCCTGGAACCTTTCTTTTATAACCTCCCTCATACCCACCTTTAAACACTGTAGTCTGATTAAGTTTTTACTCTTGTAATCCAGTTGTCACCAAATCTCAACACATGAACTTGGCAGCATGGGGACACACTCAAATGATGACACTATCATAACTGTGGTCTCTTTCATTGAAATATTATTTAGACAGCTACTTAAGTGTTAGGGTTTTTTTTTTTTTTTTGAGAGATGTTTGCTTAAGAGTGTGTGTGCTTGCCAGAGAGACAGAGAGAGAGAAAGTGAGAAATCACCCGCTGGGAGGATGTCCATGCTGCAATCCCTTCTCCTCCATTCTCCTCTCGGGATTTTGGGCACATATGCACCTGTGCCCAGTGTGAGTTTAGATTGCTGTATCTGGGACTCGAATCAGAGTTGACTACATGGGAATCCAGCAATGTGATCATCATGCCTCTGCTATTAGGAAATTTTCATCAAAACATGTGGATTTTGTTTAAAATGGACAATAAAATCCAAAATGTTGCCCTCGGGAAGTAAATAAGAACCCATGCTGCTGTCAGAGCTATGCCAGGCCACATAGCCAAGAAACCCAAGTCAGGTCCAGCTTTGTGAAAGGACTTTCCTTGGAGGCTCTTCCTAAAGGACATCACTAAAATGGGACACCCTTAGTCTCTCCAGGGTTTGATATCCATATCCCTTAAAGAGATAGCCATTTCTTTCAATATGGCTTTAGCAATCCTTGTGGGGAAAGGAAAATCCAGTTGGTATCTTGACTTTAAGCTTCATTCGCAAAGGTGAATAGTTGGATTACTGCATGCGCTCTGTTTCAAATGTTCATTTCTTTTTCTTCTTTCCTTCTTCCTTCCTTTCTTTTTCTTTCTTTCTTTCTTTCTTCCTTCCTTCCTTCCTTCCTTCCTTCCTTCCTTCCTTCCTTCCTTCCTTCCTTTCTTTCTTTCTTTCTTTCTTTCTTTCTTTCTTTCTTTCTTTCTTTCTTTCTTTCTTTCTTTCTTTCTTTCTTTCTTTCTTTCTTTCTTTTTCTTTCTTTTTTCTTTCTTTCTTCCATGCCACAATCCCTTCTCCATTTCTCCATCCTGTTGGAATTTGGGGCAAACATACACACACACACACACACACACACACACATGCACAGTGTGTATTCAAGCCGAAAGGGCTGGGACTCAACTTTGGTTAACCATATGGGATCAGACTCTCTTAATCAGTAAGCCATGGGACCAGGCCTGTTCCCTTTATTTTAAAAGTTCTTTAGCCTGGAGATGAGACAAGTGGATCCAACATGGCTGATCCCCATGGCTTAAGAACTGAGCCTGGCAGCTTAAGACACATACCAAGATTTTCTGCGTGTGCCCAAAATCCTGAACAGAGGGAAGAAAGGGCGGAAAAGGCAGGGTGGGCACGAGCATTCCCCATGGAGAGAGTTTTCTCACTTTCCTTCTCTCCCTCCCCTCATCTTCTGCAAGCACACATGCCCTCTGGCAAATTTATAAAAAAGGAAAAAGAAAAATGTTTTTGTTGATTATATTAGCAGTAAATTTACCTTTGAAAAATAGAATTCTTGGGACTAGCAGATGGTGTAATGGCCATGTCACTGCACTCCCATGTAGTTGGCTGTGGTTCGAGTCCATGACACGGTGGCTTAAACTCACATATGTGCATGTGCCCAAGATCCCAAGAGGAGAATGAAGGAGAAGGATTGTGGTGTGGCCATCCCTCATGAGGGGTGATTTCTCACTTTCTGTCTTTCTGTCTCTCTCTGTCTTTCTGGCTACTACACATGCCCTATAGCAGAAAAACCTCTTAAAAACAAAAAAAGTAGAATTCTTTAAGTAGGTGAATGGGAGAGGGTGGCTGGGCATGGTGGGGGAGAGGAAGGAAACATTTAACAAACAAAGATATAAATTCTTCCGTGGGAAAAAATATTCTGTAATTCTTGCTTTATAAAAATGAACATTTTAAAAATTTGTGAATACACACATAAAAAATGAAGTAGAATTTCTTAATTTCAGACACTCAACAAACAACTGTTTGAGTTCAGTGTTGAAAGTTAAAAGAGTGATAATGATACATTATTTACTACAAGTTGATAGATTACAAGTATATAAATTAATAGTGAAAGAAAACATTTGTCTTTTTTTAACTTTCAAGGTCTTCCGAGACATTCTTTCTTCGACGATAATTAATTGCTTCTGAAATGAAGCAACAGATTTTTATTGTGCTCAACAGAAAGTAAAGAGGGAATTATAAATCATATTGCATCAGACTCAGAATAGTAGAACTGGGAAATACAGAAGAGAGAGTGTTTCTACTCTAAAAATCATAAGCTGTCAGCCTATAAATCAAATCTAGTCATCGAGTACTTCAGAAAATACATTTTTACTCTTTTCTGAAATGTAAAAATTTCATAGAATTCACATAAACATTTAAATTTTCATTATCAATTGAAAAATCACACTGAATGTACATAATACAGAGTCATCCTTCTTAAATAATACCGAACTCACTTTATTCAATTTAGTTATGTTTCTCCCTTCTCTGTCCGTCTGGCGTTAGGAATCCTGATTGATACCAACTCCTTTATTTGATATTCAAAATACATGTGACTCCAAAGAGGGTATGTCATTTGCCCTAATCATGTCACTTGTAGTTTTCAGGGCATAACATGGTAATAAAAGAGGTCCTGCCTTGCAATAAATAGAAAAGCATCAAGGTTTTCATAATCAAATGCTCGTTATCATAGAGGTTCATTTTATTCTAGCCAGGAGAAATTTGCATTTTTATAGTATGTTTGGATTCTGATAGAAAGAAGTGTGCCAGAACAATGAAAATAAAGTTTAATGTGGAAATATTTTGCCTACAGATAAATCTGTTTCAAACACTTACTAACAAATAGATTTTATACACTTTTAGCGGTGTGCATAGGGGTTAAACTCCTTAAATTATACCAGTTACTGTTTCCAGTATTAATTATTTTTATCCTGATTGTGCAAGTGAGGTAGCAAAACTGTGCGCCAAATGTTATTTTTAATATTTGAAATAAGAGATGGTTAGACCCGCAGGTGGTGTGGTGGTAAGGTGCTGGATTCCCACATGGTCAACTGCAGTTTGGGCTGCAGACCTGGAGGCTTGAAAATCACTCTGATTGTGAGTGCATGTGTGACCCAAATCCCAGGAGAATGGAGAAGAAGGTATTATAGCGTGGCCATTCCCTGGTGGGGTTGATTTCTCTCTCTCTTTCTCTTTCTCTCCCTCTCTGTCTCTTTTCATTTAAGTGCATATACCCTATAGCAAAAACCTTTAAAAAAATAGATAAATAAAAGATGAAATTTTTCTGATATTAAAGCTAAAGTTGTATTAGTTGTAGATATCATATTTCTAAACTTTATTAGGATTAAGAAAGAGATTAATTATGGAAAATTTAAAATGTAGTTTTTATCGAATGTGGTGACTAGCTCTTATGTCATGTAGTGACTAGGTATGTAAACAATTTAAGCAATGTTTGAAAATGATCCTAGAATGTAATTAATAGATATTTTCTCATATCAAAGTTTCCTTCTTTTTTGTTTTTCTATAGGTTACATGCGCTCACGGAAGAGACAGAGACAGAAAGCAAGAAATCGCTTCTCATCCTTTCTCCTCTTGGGATCTTGGGCATGCATGCATATGTGCCCAGCGTGAGTTTAAGCCACCAGGTCTGGGACTCGAACCACGGTCGACTACGTGAGAGTCCAGTGACATAACCATTAGGCCATCTGCTGGCCCTTCATATCAAACTTTCTAACAAGTAGTACATAATTCAGTTTTTCATAAGTTAACAATTTATTACACTAATATTCATGTCACGTATGTTAGTTATCTATTGCAGCATAATAATGTTATCACACACTTAATGAGTTAAAACTACACACTTAGCACCCTGAAGTTTGTATAGATTAGAAATCTAGGCATAGGTTGGGACCAGCAGATGTCATAATGGTTAGGTTTCTGGACACCCATGTAGTCAACTACGGTTTGAGTCCCAGACCCAGTAGCTTAAACTTATGCTGGGCACGTGTGTGTACATGCCCAAGATCCCAAGAGAATGGAGAAGGGATTGCAGCATAGCCAGCCCCCTCTGAGGGGGGGTGATTTTTCACTTTCTGTCTTTCTGTCTCTGTCTCTCCAGCAAGCACATGCGCTCTAGAGAGATAAAGAGAAATCACATGCAAAAATTACCCTAAAAAAAAAAAAAATCTGGACTTAGGTGATCTATGTCCTCTGTTTCATAGTATTGTATGAGGTTAGTGTTTTGTTTGTTTTTTCAGTTTTGTCCTTATTTTTTCCGTAAGGGGAGAGAGAGAGTTACCCCCAACAAGTCACATCTTGAACCACTCTCAGCTTCAGGAAACCTAGGTCCAGGCATGGCCTCACAAGGAGGCCTGGAGATGCAAACTCAGGACCTTCCCATGTGGGCTCAGCATCTCAGTGTTGTGTTACCCCAGGGCCACTGCATAGCCTATGCACAAAGTTTTGATCAGTTGTAGGCTGGAGCTGGAGTCTCGTCAAGGTCGGCTCACCAGTTGTCATAAATGTACCTCTGCGGTGGGAGAAGCTGGCAGTACAGACGGCCATGGAGGTGTGGGGGCAGGGAGTATTTGGGAAAGCTCTCCTTCCTCTTCCTCTCAGTTTTTCTGTGAACTTAATGCTGCCTTAAATGCAATCTTAAAAAAATAAAGAAGCAATCTTCTCTAACCTGCAGGCCTCCTCCAGTAAGCGAACTTGCAAGCAGAGGAACCCTGGTTGGAGTCATTTCTGCTGCAGCCATCAATCAGAGTATTGTGTATTCCATTGTTTCGGGAAATGAAGAAGGTGAGTAGATTTTTAGTTTGTGTTTTCACCACACACCAATAACCGTAGATTTGGCAACTTAAAAAAAAATCCAGATAAACATATTATATTATTAGCAGTGATAAATTCTATGGAGAAAAATAAAGTGAAGAAAGGATATGGAGAATGGTTAAATAATGAAATAAAGTAGTAGGGTATCATAAACTTTATCCATTGGTCTCTTGCTTTTCACTCAAAATATATGTACATGTTTACTAAGGTGTTTATAAAATAGAGACATCAAAGCAAATCATTTTCAGATATTTAGCATAATAAATATTTTTTAATATAGCCAACATATTAAATTCTCTAAAGTGCTCTTAATAGAATAGATCTAGGAGATAATATGCATTAACTTGTGAAGAATATAATAATCCAGTAAGATCAGAAAATACTTGGTTAAACAAAATTAAATGGACTTCTTCAAAATGGAACTTCTGGGACAAGCAGGTGGTATGGTGATTAAGGCACTGGCTCCCTCGTGGCTGACTCCAGGGTTTGAGTCTCAGATCCAGTGGCTTGGGAAACATGCTGGGTGCATGCATGTGCATGCCCAAAACCCCGAGAGGAGAATAGAGAAGGGATTGCAGTGTGGTCAGCCTCACCCTGCAAGAGAGTGATTTCTTACTCTCTTTTTCTCTCTGTCTCTCTTGAGTGAAAGCGTAAACCCTTATGGAAAAAATAACTAAAAAAAAAAAAAAAAAAAAAAAAAAAAAAAAAAAAAGAAAACATAACCCCTGAAAGACTATAGTTTGGTAGAAAACGATCTGAATCTATGGTAAGTGATTTATTATTCAGTTCTCTCCAGATGTAATTGACCACAGAAACATTAATTTATAGGAAAAATCTCAAAACAAAACAAAAATAGAATTCCAAAGCAGCATTTAAGAAAAAACTGGTAATATGTTAATAATTTCGAGAGACAGATTTTCTAAAAGTGAGCATTTTGTCCCTTTAGTACTACTCTTCTGTTTTATTCTGAGTGTTTTTAAAACCACAGTGCCTTTATAAAAAGAACCTTTTTCTTATAGTGTGAAGAAAATGAGCCAAATAATTGTCTTTTAAATTCTAGATACGTTTGGGATTAATAACGTCACTGGAGCGATCTTTGTGAACGCACCTCTAGATTATGAGACGAGGACAAGCTATGTACTTCGAGTCCAGGCAGATTCCCTGGAAGTGGTCCTGGCCAATCTCCGAGTCCCTTCAAAAAGTAAGTTGTATTTCTTCAAGGTTTTATAAGAATTTCATAGCATTCTAGCTCATGTTGAAGTGAAATACATATGAATAAAATAAAGTTCTCAGTGGATAACATAGGAAGGTCATTAATTCTTGGAGATGACTGTTCATCTACTTTAACAAGTGATATACGACAGTGCACAGAATGATCTCACATTCCCAAATGTCAAGGCAATATTACACTATTTTCAAACATGGTATACAGTAGTTTTTAAAGTGCCATATTTATATATGTCTAAAATAAGAAATTTTTGTTTTAATCCCATTGCAAGGCACTGGGTAACTTTCTGAAATGTATATTGTTAATGAATATATGACCGCTAGACTTTGTCTCAGTTGTGTAGCTTCTTGTATTCATGTATTTTCTTAGAGCAGAAAAGTGTCTTTTCAAGTAAATGACTAACATTTACCGTAATTTATATATAGCATATTTATTTCATGTATATTTCTGTGAGATGAGAATTACTTAGGCAGTTTACAAAAAACGAGATAAGAAAAGGTTAAGTGATTAAAAAAATGACAGCAAACAAGAGTCAGATTTAAGCCCACATTTTATAGGATCAATATTGTTCTTGAACTTTTCAGCATAATATAGTTTACCACATAGAGTGGCAAGCAAAAGCCAATTTGTGAAGAGGATGGTAGATTCTAAAAGATGCTTCCGATCATGAGATAAATGTTACTCCATTCCATCCAATGAGGTAATACTTCTACAATTTAGCAATCCATCCTTTTGTAACCACCTTTCACAAACTAGGAAAACCAGATTTAATTTAGCAGTTAGTAGAACAGAGGGCCTGATAGTGTGGGAATTGGGAAACAGGATCTGCAACATTCACCTTGTACCTTGAGGTCATTCCTAGACATCCTATCATGGTGCTCCATCAATCAGCTTCTCTAGAAGGGGAAAGAAGAAGAAGGAAGACAGAATAAAGCTAGAATGAGAGAGTCCACGCAGTGCGAGAAAACGGCAGAAGACTCATTTTAGCATTACATTTCCTGTATCTCTTCAGCAATTGATGATCATAAAAATAAGTCACTTGTCTTTGCTTATTGCAAAACTCATGGAACTAATCCAGAGGGCAACACAGTTGCTTATTAAGGCACAACCAAATCATCTGAAAAACCAGGTTATATGCCTGGTTATTTCAATTTATCTTTGAAATAATAGGAATTAAATCACCTTCTATGATTGTGCATCACTTGCATAATTAAATTGTGTAAAAATAGGAGACCAGTTCTTTAAACTGAGGGCAGTTATCTTTTTAAAAATATAGTGGATACTTCAAATCATGAATTGAATTGGCTAAGGGAAATCAAAAAGTTATAACAGGGAACCAGCAGTTAGCGTAATGGCTATGTCGCTGGACTCCCACGTAGTCAACCGCAGTTCGTGTCCCGGACCCGGTGACTTAAAACTCACGCCGGGTGTGTGTGTGTATGTGCCCAAGATCCCGAAAGGAGAATGGAGGAGAAGGGATTGTGGCATGACCATCCCCCCTGGGGGGTGATTTCTCGCTTTCTGTCTCTATGTCTCTGTCTGTCTGGTGAGCGCACGTGCCCTATAGTGAAAATCTCTCTCAAAAAAAAAAAGTTATACTTAGCCATAAATTAAATAACATAATCTATCTTATTGTAGATACACAGAAAAGGGAAAGATTTAATTGAAAATTACAGTTGTCATCTTCATTTGAAGTATATGAACAGTTAGCTTTAGAAAATTTTGCCAAAAATTTAGATTATAGAGCTTGATTTTTCTCAAGAAATACCCATGATTACTAGGAATAGAAGTGCATTAAGTTTTCATACATAAATATAGATAACTAGATTCCATTACTCTAATTTAAATGTAAATTTAAGGCTAATACGAGTTTACCTAATGCGTATATGTATACTAGAATGTGCCCCAGCATGGGTGCAGAGGTGAAAACAATGAACAGTTTCATGAATTACCCACTCAGAAATGCATGACGTCTAAAAGTAAATGTTACTTTAATGGTCGACGCTTTGGATATTGTTAATAACATTTCATTACTGGCCTTTGCCTCTTAAGTTTGAAATACAAACTCCTGTATTTCAAACACAGTGTAATTTATTAATAACCGTTAATGGCTTATAACCAATCCACAATCCATTAGCTATGCAAATAATATCATTATGTAAATTGAGGTTAATTAATTAGTTGTCTAAAGGTTCATCCCTGCTTCAGAATTAGTTGCCCCATGGTCATTAGCTCTACCACATTTCATATAAATAAAGATAATAAAAATAAAAAGCTTAATTCATTGAAGAAGTATTTTATTGTGGTTTCTTTATCAAGCATTGTTAATAAAATTATTCTTGAAGTAAATTTTGTAACTATTTAATAACTGAATTTAATATTTACTAGCAGATTAATAATTAAAAAACATTAAAGCTTATTTTAAAATTTAGCACTGAAAATAATTAAAACGTCTTAACCTTTTTGTATGGAACATTTCAAACATATAAACAACACAGAAGCTATTACAATGAACTTCCATGTATCAACTAGCCCCCTTAACATTATCATGTCTTAGGAAATAATCTTTAACCTATATCCCTGTTACCAGGACCAATGGATCTGCCCCTCTGGAGCATGAGCCAATACTGCAAGCAAGACCATTTGTCTGGATAGGAAGGATTTATTACTTATACAAGTAAGGGGGACACCAGAGAGAGTTCCCAAAGGATGTGTGTCTCCCCAAAGTGTAAAGAGTCAGGGTTATTTTAGGGTCCAGAATCTAGCAGGTAAGATCACAGCATATAGAAGCTGCATCTTTTAAACACATGCTCAGAAGCAAGACATGTTTCCTCATATGTCCCACATTCTATGCATGAAGCTTTAGCTCCAGAAGGAGTGGAGATATTAGTATTATAATGAGCAAAGTTCAGCAAAATTCAGCAAAGGTTGGAGTCTTGAGTTTAGTATCTGTTGCTAACTGGTTCTAGCAGGATTGTAGCTACAGGTCTCTTATTAGAATGTGTTGTCCCTGCAAAACAATTCAGATTTACATTAAGTGTCCTGCTTAGCTAACACCCTCAACTATTCCCCACTCCATTATTTTGAAGCAGGTCAGAGGCACAACATTCCATTTATAAATATTTCAATATACATCTCCTAAATAAGGACTCCTAAAATTTAATTAAAGTACTATTATTGCTTCCCTCAAAATTAGCAAAAAATTGTTCAATATCAGCATATATTCAATCAATTTTCATTTTAAATGTTTATTTACATCAGAATCCGAGTAAGGTCTATCATTGTAATAGTTTGACAGTTCTTTTAAATGTATAGCACTACCACTATCCTTTTTATTCACCTGCATATAAGAAACCAGAATTCTGAGGCCAGAATTTTGAAGACTGCATCTTGAAGGGGTCATATCAGATATTTTTCTCTGTTTCTTTTATTTCAAGTACATCAGTGGTTAGGTATGGAGACTTGGTCAGATCCAGGGTGTCTTTGTTTTTGTTTTAAACAAATAAATATTTGGTGATATTCACTCCTTCCTTAGACTTCAAGTCCCATGGACTCTTTTTGTGATGACAGTAGCTGCTAATAGTCATTTCCTAGATTTGGTAATTCCTTCCCTTCATTTCTTCTATAGTTGTTAGTAAAAATATTTCAGTAAAGAGAAATATGTCTCAGGACCAGCAGTTGGTGTAATGGCTATGTTGCTGGACTCTCACGTAGTCATCCACGGTTCAAGTCCTGGACCTGGAGGCTTAAACTCACACCGTGTGTGTGTGTGTGTGTGTGTGTGTGTGTGCATGCATGTGTGCCCAAGATCCTGAGAGGAAATGGAGGAGAAGGGATTGCAGCCTGGCCATCCCTCCTGGGGGGTGATTTCTCACTTTCTGTCTGTCTGTCTCTCTCTGTCTTTCTGATGAGCGCATGCACCCTATAGCTAAAACCTCTCCAAAAAAAAAAAAAAAAAGAGAGAAATCTATCTCTATATCAACTATTTGGTTATGCTGAAGTTCAACTCCTCTATTAAAAGCAGAAAAATAATATTTTAATTAATTTCCTTTGGCTACTGGTCTTCAGAAAACTGAGTTGATTTACTACTATACTCCACATGAGGCCACCAGAGATAACAAATATTTGGGGGTTTAGGGCCTTGTGGTCTCCCTTTGCAACTCCTTAACCTTTGTAGCTTAAAGACAAGAAAAGGCAATTGTAAATAAACAAACAAAAAGCTCCAATAAAGCTTTCTTTACTAAAACAGTCTGGGGAGTGCCTTTGACCATAGATTGCCCACCCTTGTTCTTAAAATTTGCTTTACAGAATATACTTAGCCTCCCTTTTTTTTTTTTTTTCCTATTGTTCATATATTTCCTACTGTGAACAGTGCTTCTGCCTCATTCCTTTTGTTTTCCCACACATCTCATTGGAAGTGTAGCAGTTTTGTTCTCCATGATTTTAGTTACCCGTTGTCAAACACAATCCAAAATTATTAAGTGGAAAATTCAAGAAATAAACAACTCTTATGTTTAAAATTGTGTGTCATTTTAAGTACCATGATGGAATATCACTGTCCAGTTCTGTCTCACTGAAGTCATGCATTATACCTTGGTCCAGTGTATCCAGGCAGTTTATTCCATCCACACATTAGTCACTCAGTAGCTTGTGTTCTCAGACCAAATGAACATGGTATATCTATATCTATACCTTTTGCGCATTCACATATCTGCTGGCAGACTTGGAATGTGTTTCTTGCCAAAAAGGGGGGTTACTTTATTGCTTTATCCCTGTTCATACCAATGATACAGTCAGTCATTTAGATATCTGTATCCTGTTGTCTAGAAGGTTGCTCCAAGTAAGATTATAGAAACAATTTCTTATGTTCTTACCCATTAATAAAAGCCTACATGAGTCCTGCATCATTAAAGTCTAGTTTGGCTTGATACAAAAGACTTGATTCTAGGAATTTTTTTTTCTTTAAAGTAAAT